ATATTTTGTTTTATTTCTTGCTTGTTATAACTTGTTTATGAAGAAAGTGCCACAGCACAAAAGAGCCAGAACAGAGTTGGGCAGCGAAGGAAAAAAGCACTGCTAATTCCAATTTTCACAATTAAACCTTATACCAATTCCTGTTTCATATCCATTATGGGTTAGTCCAGGGGTGATCCTCGTGATAATAACCTTAGCATGACTATCATCATGCGTCAGGTCATTCACCCGTTGCTAACTTGCTTAAATAAGATAGGTGGGCTTACGCGCCACCTATCGTCCTAGTATCAGTTATGTAACTTACACATATCAATTATACTAGTTCGATGGGTGGCGCTTCATGCCACCCATCTTATTCAAGACATTTCAATATCTATAAAGTTTAAATCGTTTAATAATAATTACTTATATAGATGCATAATAAGGCCAAGTTATTTAAATATGTTATACCTGGATAGGAATGTAAAATTTTAGTAATTTTATGTAATTTTATATAATTTTATGTAACTTCGTGTAAGATTGGGTAAATTGAAATTTATGTAATTGTAAGTTTTGAATTTATTACATTAGTTTTGAGATCAAATGTTTAGTGATTAAGGAGTTACAATTCAGATCGTACATTCAAATCAAACGATGCAATAATGCTGGCAGAGCTTTTGTGAATTTGGTACTTTATGTATAACATGATGAAAACTACATGAAATTTGATTTTCTGAAACTTAAATAAAATTACATGTAATGTAAAATTGTAATTTATGTGCTACAACTCTATATTCGAAACGAAGAGTATAGTTTTCTTGTGAAATAAACAGTGCAGTAGTGTTAGCCTACTAATCGATTATTTGGTTGATCAATGTTAATTTTTATATTTATATCATAATTGCATAAGTTAACTGTGCTAGAACCAGGAATGGATACACTAATGATTTTAACTAAGGTACGGGAAATAACTTTATACACATTATTTTTTTTGATGATAATTGAACCTTTCAAAATTGATATGGATGTTGGGTAGATTTTTATCAGTATTGATATTCTTCTGATACTGATCTAAAGTCTGTTTATCATGCATATCAATTTAGCATTGTTTAATACTGACTTTAATATTCATATATTGACAAACCTTTCAAAATCGATATGCAAGGTAAACAGGCTTTGGATTAGCATCAGAAGGTTATCAGATTTGAAACTGTTGTAAACCATTAGATTTATATGGCAGACCGGATTTGGTAGATTAATTTTATTAGACTTGATAGATTATTGATTCTGAAAGTAGTTTACAATATTTCTAAATTTGATAATCTTTTAATATTAATACTGCACGAAATCTATGCATCATGCATGTCAGCTTTGAGAGAGTCAATAGTAGTTTACAATGTTTCAAACTTGTTAATTTCTCAATATTTCACTATGATATCGATTTGGTTTGTTTGCGTATTAGGCTGTGATAGCCTAAAGCTTCTTAAAAAAACCCCTTTTTTTTTAATTAATAAAACGTGCAAAATAACGAAATGTTAAAAGCTTCCTAATATCGAAGGAGCAAAAACTTTTGTTAGTCAAAGATTTGAGTCTAGGGTCCAGTTTACATGGCTCTTCAAAGTCAGCTATAGGAGCATAACTCTTCGATAGTTACAATATATGCAATGAGTGACATTGCAAGAGCTGGTAGTTGACAATCTTACTTTACATATAAATTCATACAGGGTAGTGTGAAACTTGTCGCTACATACTATTAGAAATTCATACGGGGTTGCGAGAAACTTGTTGCCATATACTATTAGATTCATACAGGGTAGCGTGAAGTTGTCGCCATATACTATTAGATGATTTGAAGATATACACTTTTTTGCAAACTTTTATTATAGCGATATATAGTGTAGGATTAGCATACGTACGCTTGATCATTTGATTGTTGGTCATTTTTAAAGAGATAATATACCATGCGTTCATGAAAATTGTTAAATATTCTAAAATTATTAGAAAGTTTCTGATGTTAGTGATTGAATTATTAAGATGCATTAAAAAGGTTTAATCACAAAAATAAGTTAAGGTATGTAGTAAATTTCAAGTAGAAAGATTTTTTAGTTAATTTTTTTTTTAAAAAGTGCTAGCCAGAATTGTTATATAGTTTGGGATATGTTTGTAGTTATACGACATTTAATAGTCTGTTGTTTGTTATTGACAATGTTTATTTGTTTCAGAATTACTGAAAATTGTTGTAAATTGGTCTAATTGTTATCTTTTGGATTGCTAAAATTTTCTAGCGAAAGGATTGCTAATATTGTATTGTTAATATAATTTATAAGGTTCGATTTTAACAGTGGCTGATTTAATAAGATAAAGATGATTGTATAGTAATAATTTATAGCTTATTTAGTTGTTTTAGATTGATAAATCTGTTCTTAGTTCTAAAAGGGTGGCAAAGTTTTGTGTAATAAACTCTGGCACTGCCTGGAAAAACAAAAAAGTTACAAAATTATAATAAAATCATAAATGTTTTAGTAATTGTTGGGTAGTTAGAAGCGTATAAGTTCAATTGTGAAAAGTTCGATTGTCATTATGCCATGTTGTGCAGATACCATAGTGAGAATTAAGCACGTTAGACAAACCGTAAAGAAAAAATTAGAAGTGGTATGGGCTATCGGTGTTTATCCTGTAGGGATTGAGGATCGTGAGGTCGAATTGATTTTATTTCTATCAAGTAATTTGGGAGAGAGGGATCCAGATACACATGCGCTCTTTGAGAAAGACGAATATTTTTCTGTTAGTGGTAAAATAGTGCCCGAAACTTATAAAAGTAATTTAAGGCCAAGGGTAATTAAATTTATAACATTTGATAGGTATCTTAGTTTACTTTTTTTTTTAATAAATTTGTTTTAGATGACAGTTTCGACTTCTACGCATGTTAAGATTCTTAAAGTTTCTGACTTGAATAAATGTCTTTTGAAAGTATCGTTGGCTGGAATGGTTGAAAAAGCATCTGATGAATTTGGAGATGATGAGAATGCTGTCATCGAAGTTTTAGTAACAGATTATATGTGTCGAGATTATAACTTTATTATTAAAGTAGTTTTTCCGCATTTAAGTCCACAGTTTAAAAGTCTCATGAGCATTGTTCGTCCGGGAGAATCAATAGTTTTTGTTGTGGGCCAGATGGAATTTATAGAACACGAATTGTACGTGTATGCTCATGATATTAATTGCATAGATACTCATTTTATTAAGAAGAGAGAAATCGAAATCGACAGTGAACAATCGATGAAATCAACTCGATCAAGACTATTGACTATTCATAAAAGTATATCTAAGGTTAGTATTTTAATCATTTTGATAATTAATTGATATATTTTGTTGAATGGTATTATTTATTTTTAAAGCGTGTAAAAGTCGAAGTGAATGAAACTAAGAAAGACGTAATAGCTGAAGAAGATATTGATGCTTCAAATGTTGATGATAAAGAATTAATCAAAGATATTGATGATTTGGTTGAGATTTATCAAGATCAAGATGAGGAAAAAACAAATAAATCTAAAAAGAATCAAGGATGTGGTCATAAAAAGGATAAGGAATGGGCTATTCAGAAGATTACTCATAATACCAGACAGTCAACCAGATCTAGTGTAGTTATCGATGATAATGAAGAAGAATAATATATAGTAAAATTTTTGAATCTTTATGTAGTTTTTTTTAAATATTATGCTTTTCTAAAAGTATATACTGGTAGTTTAATAAAAAAGTTGAAGTTTAAAATATTGCTTGAAGCTAAGAATTTGAGGTGAAGTTCGGGAATCTTTGTTGTCATAATTTTTGCGTTTTAGATGTTCGATTTCAGTTATCAAATAAAATGACGAATTTCAGTAATAGAAATTTTTAATCACAATATTAGCTGCGAAATGTTTCTAATATTAATCGTTAATTGAATAGATAAATTTTTTGCTTAAGTGTAATTAGTTAAAGGGCGTTATTCATAGTTTTTGAGTTGTAAAATTATCTATTAATAAAGAAAAACTGAATTATTATATTGTGTCGTGAAATTTCTTGATATAAAAATTTTTAATCAAAAAATTAGGATTTTTTAATGATTGAAATCAAACTTTAGATTTATATTTAAGTTAATAATCAAATACTTCAGGATATACTATGTTTGTAGTTTGATTATTTATATTGTCAGTTTTGTTTGAAGGAAGTAAGATTGATATATTTTTTCGATCTATTGCTCTAGATAGTGCAATATATAGTTGACCGTGGGAAAACACAGGTTCACGAAGATCGATGCCAACATATTTTAAAGTTTGCTCTTGACTTTTATTTATGGACATTGCGAAGGCAGGCATGACAGGAAATTGGCATCGAATAAATTTGAATGGTAGATCTCCAGGCTTGGGTGAAAATGAGATACGGGGGAGCAAAATTCGGGTGTGTACGCGGAGACCTTGAAGAAATTCTGCTTCTAAAACACGTTTATGAATAGCTTTACAAATAAGGCATGTACCATTGCACAGACCTTGTTCTTGATTAATATTACATAATAGTAAGATCGGTGAACCTACTTTGAGTTTAAGGTCATGAGGAGGGAAACCAGAAGGGGTAAAAGAATTTAATAATTCAACTGGAAAAAGATTTAATTGGGTGAAAGATGTTGATGCAGGATCTAAAGTATCAGCACTAAAGGAGTGAATAATCGTAGTGGGAAGAGATTCTATAATAATATCATTAATTTCATTAACATGTTTGTTACGCGGAACCAAGATTGCGTGTTCGAGCAATAATTCTGGTGTTTCGAAAAGAAACAGTAAATTTGGATAAACTATTGATATAAAATCTTGTAAAGATGTAGAAGGTAAAACGATATCAGGAGGAAGGTCAATTATATTGTCTATATCATTTAAAATAGGTACAGTTCTATTACCGACTTTAAGAAGCCAATTAGAAAATTCTGATTGTGTAATAAAATCAGATGCATGTTTGGTACGATAAAGATACTTAATAAAGATATATAAACATAATTGCTGTTTAAACTAAAAAAAAAAATTGTATTTTCTAATAATTAATTTAATCTGTTTATAATTAATAAAAATTGCATAAATATTCAATTATTACTATTACAATTTAAAACTAATATAAAATATATAATTAATATTTTAAATAGAATATTTTGTTAATCTATTGTATTATAACAATGTATTTGTTAATAATTTTAAGCAAAAATAAGATAGTTTTGAACTTTTAAAAAAATACTTGTATAGCTTTTAATATAAGAACCTATTGTTATAACAATACTAAATATAAGTTTATTATAGTTATAAAATATATATTTGGTTTTTAAGTCTTTTGTTAGTTTTAGCTAATTAAAAAGCTTGCCAAAAAGAACTTAATAGCTAACTAGAAGTTTATAAAGCAAATGTCAAATTTGTAAATTTGGCAAAGGCCAATTTAATATCATACTATATATAAATATATTATTAACATTAAAATAATTGATCTTTTTATTTAATTTAATCAAATTTATATATACATATTTTATAGTTTATTTGTAATTATAATAGAAATAAGTAATATAGTTTAATATTTAATAATATATAATAATTTATCAAATATGTAAGAACTAAATTTTACCTATTATTTATATAATTATTACATTACTTATTTCTAGTTCAGATTAAAAATAGTTTGAAATTACTTTGGGTATATTAAAATATTTTCAGTAAATTCAACTTGCTAAAAATTAAATCTTATTAAAAGTCTCAAAAGTCTTAATTTTCAAGCATATTATATAATATAAACTTTGACAAATGCCAATTATATCTTAATACAAATATCTTGTAATTTTAAAAGTTACTTAATTTTGCATTTCAAATCAGTTAATAAAAATTTCTAAAAATTTATTAGTTAATTTTAGTCTTTATTAAAGTTTGCAATATATAATATGTTTAAAAATTAAAATTTATAATATGAATATAAAATGATTAGCCAGTTACTTTATGCTTGAATTTGTTATAAACTACTTAAAAGAGTTAATTTGGATTAAAAAAAGTGTATTATATTTGATAAGTAGTTTGCTTGATAATAGTACTAAAGAAAGTTTTGAGTTTAATATTGATCAAATGTACTAGTATACTTTTATAATTACAAGTTAGAAATAGATTATATAATATTAATTATATTTAATAAAAATATTTATTTATTCTTATTAACAAGTAATTTTATTAATGATAATTATAAATTATATAAGTTATATATTAAATGCAAATAAGAAGTTATCTTTTTTTAAAAAAACTTTAAATTTTTTATTTATATTTTTTTTTGGTATTAAGATGACCTCTTTGGTCTTTTGACTTTTATTAATCACTTATTAGTATTGTAATTCAATGAACTACTACAAGAGAGTATACAATTGGCTACACATGTAAATTTTCTATATTACCTATTTAAAGAGTCTATCCAAAGGTTCTCTACCAATTGCTATATTTAACACTTCTGCTTGAGTGTTTCGCTTTAAACTCTCTGAACTTGTAATCTGTATTAACATCACTGGGTTATACCCAGATGCCCAGATCATTATCTCAACTTTAGGACTAATTTATCTTAGAAGTAAACCTGCCAGAGCCTTCTGTATCTATTTTTATAGCTAACCTAGTTATCACTATAGCAAAACTAACACTTGCAGTTAGAGCTAACTATTAAACCACTATGACCTTGTAGAATTCACTTAGACTTCAGCATCTACTTCATAGTATAACCCCAGTACTTTAGTATACCTCTGTCTTTTCATCTACCTTTTTACTAAACTTCCAATCCAGATAGCCCATGTAGAACTATGACCAGTCTATTGATATATTGGGTCAGCCTAATATCCTTTTTCTCTAGTTTGTTCTGACAACCTGGTTGGTGATACTTCTGAGACTTTCAACTTGGAGGTTCTTGCCTGTTCATCTACTACAACCAGGTACTATAACCTTGGTATCTGTTTCTCCAGGCTAGCTTTTACAGTAGAGCCATTGAAGATCCAGCTACCTATTTATTTAGGTCTTTCCAAATGGACTTCTTGTTATCTAATTTCAACAGATTTATACAGTTACAAGAACTTATCTAGTGTTTGCACCATCTGATTTGTCAATTTGCATTTCTCTATATAACTTTAACATTGTACAGATGCCCCATGACCTGCCAGTCATGCTGGTGTGATTGCCATTACAGATATCCTAACCTAATTGTTAGTAACAGTTGCTATAATATGAATATTATATAGGTGATTATCCAAATTTTTGTAATTAATAAGATTTGAACACCCAACCTACTACTTCACAAGGTTGCCACATCCTCTATAATGGATAGTTTTAATTTTATTAATAAGTTATATTCTATTTATATTTTCTAAATTACTTTTTAACTAATTACTAATAACTATTATATTTATTATATATATTATATACAATTAATCAGTTACATATAATAAATATAATAGATGTAATTAATCTTTTTTTCTTAATTAAGTTATAAACATTCAAATGATTATAGTTCATTCAGGTTTTATAACAGTAAAATTTTTAACTCTTGGTAAGACTTTTGATTTTTAAATTATAGTAAATAAAATTCTATTTAAAAGTACTTTTATTTTTAAAGTTACTAAACTACTTAGTTTTGAAGCTATATTTAGTTTAGGTATATATGTATATATATATTTTATATAATTTATATATAGAGAATGTGGTAATTTAGTGAAGTAGATAAGTTGTTATTCCCCCAAGTAGTAGGTTGTAAGTTCAAAACCCATTAACAGTGAAATTTGTATAATCACCTATATAATATATAGATGATATTACAGCGACAGTATTCTGTTAATCAGTTAGGATAAGATACCTGTAACTATAGTCACACAAGCATGACTAGCAGATATGAGGCATCTGTGTAACCTGTTACACAAAGAAATGCAAACTGGTACTGGGTAATGCAAACCTAAAATAAGTTCTTAGGCTGTATAAATCTGTAAAACTAGGAAGTCAGTGCTTATTTGGAAATTCTAAGCAGAGAGGTAATATGGATCTTTGATAGTACTACTATAAAGGCTAGATCTAAGAAATAGATACTATTGTGAAGAAATCAGATAGGCACAAACCTTAGGTAAGGGGTACTATTAACCAGACTGTCAGATTTCAGATTAAAGAAAAAGAATATTAAGTTAACTTTAATATATCAAGGACAGGTTACAGTTCTTTTGGGCTATCTGAATTGGTAGTTTAAGGTCAAAGCAGAAGTATATTAAAAGTACTAAGAATATACTGTAAAGTCAGTATCAGGATTTGAAAAAACTCTGTAAGAATAACTCTTGTTAATGTTTTAAAAGTAAGTAGATAGTTAACAACAGAGAACCTTTTGCATTTTACTGGTAGGTAATATACTCTGAATTGTATAATGGCCTAGGAATTAGTACAAAAAGAATAGGTACTATACTGTTCAGACAGTATACTGGTTAGATATATATAGGGGTTATTTGAAGTTACATCATAGCAGAGCAGATGATCAAAGAGTTTAAATAGATTATTTTCTAGTAGATTATAGATATGGTATCTAGTGTAGAACCTTAGAGTGGACTATTTAAATAGGTAACCAAAAGTTATATATGTGGCTAGTTGTACTCTCATCTTTATAAAAATAGTTGTAATAACTAATCCAACAAAAGTTAACAAAGTATTGTTATTACACTTCAATCTAATGATCCTAAAAACACATGGACACTATATACCTTCTCTGCAAATTGGCATATAAGCAAAATAACAAATACATCAAACTTCTTAATACTCTTTCAAAAATACCAAATTATAAACTCAACAACTAACACAATCAATATTTCTCCAACACCCACAACATTTCAAATAAACTATAAACAAACTATCAATTTAAAATGCAAAACACAAAAAAGAAACCAATATTTTGAA